GGGACCCCCCCAAACTGGGTCCCCCCCATTCAGAACCCCCCAAATTGAGAACCCCCAAACCGGGACCCCCCCAAACCAGGACCCCCCCCCAGCGGGACCCCCGCATACTGGGACACCCCCATTACACCCCCCCCAATGTGGGTCCCCCCTAAACCAGAACCCCCCCATACCGGGACCCTCTGCTTCAGAACCCCCCCCAAACCGGGTCCCCCCAAAACCAGACCCCCCCCATACCGGGACCCCCCCATTCCACCCCCCCAATGTGGGACCCCCCCAAACTAACACCCCCCCATTTCACCCCCCCAAACTGGGCCCCCTCATTCCACCCCATTCCTATGGGGGTGCCCCCCCCATCCCATTTCCTTTATAGTGGGGGGGGAACGCACAGATTTGGGGGTGTCCCCCCCCTCTTTAACCCCTCTTCCCCCCCCCCCCCCCATCCCATCCCATCCGTAGCCATGGCAACCGACCCGGACCCCCCCCCCCCCCCGCCCCCCCCGCTGCCCCCCCCGTTATTGGGTGGGCCAGGACGTCCTGGCCCGCTGGACCGACGGCCTCCTCTACCTGGGCACCATCAAAAAGGTGGGCGAAACCCCCCAAAAAACACCCAAAATCACCCCAAAACCACCCCGGAGACCCCTCCAAACACCCCAAAATGACCAAAACCACCCCAAAATGACACCACCCCCCCCTCACCCCCCCCAGGTGGATCCCGGCCGCCGTGGTTGCCTGGTCCAGTTCGAGGACAATTCCCAGTTCCTGGTCCTATGGAAGGACATCAGCCCAGGTACCCCCCCCCCTTATAATTAACCCCCCCATAATTAACACCACCCCATAATTAACACCCCCCATTATAACCCCCCTTTTCCCCCTTATTAATAACCCCTTTGCTCATCAACCCCTAATGAACCAATGACCCCCCCATTCATCACCCCCCCATAATTAACACCCAGCCCCTATAATTAACACCCCCCCATTATAACCCCCCTTTTCCCCCTTATTAATAACCCCTTTGCTCATCAATTAAGCCCTAATGAACCAATGACCCCCCCATTCATCACCATCCTATAATTAACACCCCCCCATTATTAACCCCCTTTTCCCTTCATTAAGAACCAATTTGCTCATTAATTAACCCTTAATTAACCAATGACCCCCCATTCATCAGCCCCCCATAATTAACACCCCCCCATTATTCCCCCCCTTTTCCCTTCATTAAGAACCCCTTTGCTCATCAATTAACCCCTAATGAACCAATGACCCCCCCATTCATCACCCCCCCATAATTAACACCCAGCCCCTATAATTAACACCCCCCATTATAACCCCCCTTTTTCCCCTCATTAAGGACCCCTTAACTCATTCATTAACCCCTAATGAACCCATGACCCCCCATTCATCACCCCCTCATAATTAACCCCCCCATTATTTCCCCCTCATTTCCCTTCATTATGGACCCCTTTGCTCATCAATTAACCCTTAATTAACCAATGACCCCCCCATTCATCACCCCCCCATAATTAACACCCCCCCATTATTAACCCCCTTTTCCCTTCATTAAGAACCAATTTGCTCATTAATTAACCCTTAATTAACCAATGACCCCCCCATTCATCAGCCCCCTATAATTAACACCCAGCCCCTATAATTAACACCCCCCATTATAACCCCCCTTTTTCCCCTCATTAAGAACCCCTTTGCTCATCAATTAACCCTTAATTAACCAATGACCCCCCCAATCATCACCCCCCCATAATTAACACCCCCCCATTATTCCCCCCCTTTTCCCTTCATTAAGAACCCCTTTGCTCATCAATTAAGCCCTAATGAACCAATGACCCCCCATTCATCATCCCCCCATAATTAATACCCCCCTTAATTAACCCCCTTTTCCCTTCATTAAGAACCAATCTGCTCATCAATTAACTCCTAATTAACCAATGACCCCCGAATCATCACCCCCCCATAATTAACCCCCCCATTATAACCCCCCCATTTCCCTTCATTAAGAACCCCTTTGCTCATTCATTAACCCTTAATTAACCAATGACCCCCCCAATCATCACCCCCCATAAATAACCCCCATTCTTAACCCCTTTTCCCTTCATTAAGAACCCCTTTGCTCATCAATTAACCCTTAATTAACCAATGACCCCCCCAATCATCACCCCTCATAAATGACGCCCATTATTAACCCCTTTTCCCTTCATTAAGAACCAATTTGCTCATCAATTAACCCTTAATTAACCAATGACCCCCCATTCATCACCCCCCCATTATTCCCCCCCTTCCCTTCATTAAGAACCCCTTTGCTCCTTAACTAACCCTTAATGACCCCCCATTCATCCCCCCCCATTATTCCCCCTTTCCCTTCATTAAGGACCCCTTTGCTCATCAATTAACCCTTAATTAACCAATGACCCCCCATTCATCACCCCCCCATTATTCCCCCCCCTTTCCCTTCATTAAGAACCCCTTGCTCCTTAACTAACCCTTAATGACCCCCCAGTCATCCCCCCCATTATTCCCCCTTTCCCTTCATTAAGGACCCCTCATTAATGCTCATTAATTAACCCCTAATGACCCCCCCCCTTGCAGCTGCGGTGCCAGGGGAGGACCAATCCTGCTGCGTCTGCTCCAGCCGGGTCCTGAGCCCCCAGAACCTCCTGGTCCGGTGCTCCAAGTGCGGCCATGGTTGGTGCCCCCCTTGAACCCTCTTAACCCCAACTTGAACCCTCTTAATCCCCCCAAAACCCTCTTAACCCCCCTTGAACCCTCTTAACCCCCCCTGAACCCTCTTAACCCCAACTTGAACCCTCTTAACCCCCCCAAACCCTCTTAACCCCCCTTGAACCCTCTTAACCCCCCTTGAACCCTCTTAACCCCCCTTGAACCCTCTTAACCCCCCTTGAACCCTCTTAAACCCCCCAAACCCTCTTAAACCCCTTGAACCCTCTTAACCCCCCTTGAACCCTCTTAACCCCCCTTGAACCCTCTTAACCCACCCATGAATCCTCTTAACCCCCCTTGAACCCTCTTAACCCCAACTTGAACCCTCTTAACCCCCCTTGAACCCTCTTAACCCCCCAAAAACCCTCTTAACCCCCCTTGAACCCTCTTAACCCCCCTTGAACCCTCTTAACCCCCCCTGAACCCTCTTAAAGCCCCCCAAACCCTCTTAACCCCCCTTGAACCTTCTTAACCCCCCTTGAACCCTCTTAACCCCAACTTGAACCCTCTTAACCCCCCCAAACCCTCTTAACCCCCCTTGAACCCTCTTAACCCCCCCCAAAATGCTCTTAACCCCCCTTGAACCCTCTTAACCCCCCCAAAACGCTCTTAACCCCTTTTGAAACCTCTTAACCCCCCAAACCTTCTTAATCCCCCTTGAACCCTCTTAACCCCCCTTGAACCCTCTTAACCCCAACTTGAACCTTCTTAACCCCCCTTGAACCTTCTTAACCCCCCCAAAACCCTCTTAACCCCCCTTGAACCCTCTTAACCCCCCAAAAACACTCTTAACCCCCCCAAAATGCTCTTAACCCCCCTTGAACCCTCTTAACCCCCCCAAACCCTCTTAACCCCCCCCAAAATGCTCTTAACCCCCCTTGAACCCTCTTAACCCCCCCAAAACCCCTTAACCCCCCTTAAACCCCTTAACCCCCCCTGAACCCTCTTAACCCCCCTTGAACCCTCTTAACCCCCCCCAAAACGCTCTTAACCCCCCTTGAACCCTCTTAACCCCAACTTGAACCCTCTTAACCCCACCTTGAACCCTCTTAACTCCCCCCAAAATGCTCTTAACCCCCCTTGAACCCTCTTAACACCCTTTGAAACCTCTTAAACCCCCCAAAACGCTCTTAACCCCCCTTGAACCCTCTTAACCCCAACTTGAACCCTCTTAACCCCCCCTTGAACCCTCTTAACCCCCCTTGAACCCTCTTAACCCCCCTTGAAACCTCTTAACCCCCCTTGAACTCCCCCCAAACCCTCTTAACCCCCCAGAAACCCCTCTTAAACCCCCCCAAACCCTCTTAACCCCCCCAACCCTTAACCCCCCCCCCTTGAACCCCCTTAAGCCCCCCTAAACCCTCTTAAACCACCCCAAACCCTCTTAAGCCCCCCTAAACCCTCTTAACCCCCCCTTGAACCCTCTTAAAACCCCCCAAACCCTCTTAACCCCCTCAAAACCCTCTTAACCCCCCAGAAACCCCTCTTAAACCCCCCCTAACCCCCCCAAACCCTCTTAACCTCCCCCGAACCCTTTTAAACCTCCTCTAAATGGTTACCCCCTTAAGAGCCCTTACCCCATTAAGAGCCCTTACCCCCTAAAAGCCCTTACCCCCGTTAAGAGCCCTTACCCCGTTAAGAGCCCTTACCCCGTTAAGAGCCCTTAACCCCGTTAAGAGCCCTTACCCCGTTAAGAGCCCTTACCCCGTTAAGAGCCCTTAACCCCGTTAAGAGCCCTTACCCCCGTTAAGAGCCCTTAACCCCGTTAAGAACCCTTACCCCGTTAAGAGCCCTTACCCCGTTAAGAACCCTTACCCCGTTAAGAGCCCTTAACCCT